ATCTAAGTTTGACAATAATATTATGATGTACCAACTTGGGATCAAATCGGATATTCCCTTCGAGAGTTATCGTGTGCACCAGCCAGCCTGACAGACAGACGCACGGACATCGCTAGAATATGCTGAAACGGATTTGTTCCAAAGAGATTATTTCGACTAGGCACGTTTTGGCCGTATCAAGTGATATACTCTCTGTAGCCATATGGCTGAGGGTATAAAAATAAGTTTAGTTAATAAGGGTTTTTCACTTCAAAAAATTTTGCATGCAAACGCACTGTAAACATACTTCAAATTGTTCAAATACAACCTGCTTTAAAAATATTTATTTGAAGTATGAGTAGTGGATATGACAATTTTAATCCAAATCCAGTGGGTTAACCCATTTATATGTAAACGTACTGTAAGGGTACATTACAAAACATGGTAGAAGAATACAGGTAGTCGCATCGAAACAGCTGCTGGGACAATGAACTGTCAAACTAATTTTAGAATTGAAAATTTTAAATGAAAAATTATTCAAATTTGTAAAGATTATTAAAAAATTGCATATTATAACCTCCGATTGGGGTCCTATAGGAAAACATATACAAATCTACTTCGTTTTGAAGAAACATTTTAAAAATTTTGTCACATCAATGTTCCCAAGCGTTGATGCATCTACCTATATTCTTCTACCATGATTACAAAACATGTAATAATACGAACATATTATTGCATACAATTTTGTAATTGAACTACGTTTTTTTTTCATTTTGGGGCTCAGTTACAAAGCAACTACACAATTTTTTGTCGTATATATAGAAATAGAAAGGGTTTGAAGTTATTGCAAAATATTTTCAAACATTTTCGTTGGAATTTCATAGAAATGTCTTGAAATTGCAATCACAATATGAAGATGTAAAAGACATCATTTGTCGTTGTGTTCATTTCACATTGCAGTGTTATTAAAACAAAGAAATGGTCGTGTGTTAAGACTTTTCAAAGGATTATAGTCATTGGATTTTTAATGGCTACTGTAACACGCACTGAATGTTGGATAAGAAACACACACCTATTAACAAAGACACATATGGATAAATGTGAGAATGGGTAATAGAATGGGATCATTAAAGATTGAAAAAAATATTTTAAGAACGTTTTATATTAAAGCTTTTTTACAAGTATTTAAAGAGCCGCAGGTGTATGACCCAGCCAATGCCCATTTGGTTGGCTGGCTTCTTCGTAGATGAACAAAGGAGTTTTAGCTTGCCTTAGTTCTATTTTGGCCCTAGGATCCTTTGTTCATTTCCGAAGAAGCCAGTCGATGACTTAAACCAGCCAAATAAGCGCTTTATGTTTTCCCACCTTAAGTGTGCGCGACTTCTGGCAATTTAGTGTATGTATTTATTGATTTAAAAAATGAAAACAGAATAATTTCAAAATCCATGATTGGAAGATACGTACATTGCAGCTCGCGCATTAATATCTTTATCCATGAAATTGGCAGATTTAACAGTTTGGATCATATGTTTCACAGAAAAACCAGGCATTTCATTCATTTTTCGCGCTATTTAACTCATTTTAAAAATGAGGAAAAATATAAAAAAAGAAAGAAACGTGTATATAATTTTGAATGAGACATGAAGCGGGCATAGCCTCAGGGCTGTATTTTTGTAGTTAGGCGAAGCTGTTCTACCTTCTTATTGTACCAAGGCTAGATCTACTCAGCTCGGCGAGATAGGACGATCTATATGTTGAATGAAAAATTATTTAAATTTTTAAAAATTGTTGAAAAACCCTTATTATAATAACCTCCGAATGATACGACGTCATTCATATTTAAAAACATATTTAAACATATTTAATCTATTTAGTTTTAAAGAAACATTTAAAAAATGTTGACATTATCAATGTTCCGAAGCGTATGTATTCTTCTCACATTTGTTCAGAGTTGTGTTTTTTATATTTATTCAATCTGCCCTACCTTGTAATAATTACACTATGCATGGCTCAATAAGAAAAGTTGTTCAACTTCATAACATCAGGTTGTTCAACTTCATATTTTTGACGTTAATTGGGTATTAATTTTACAAGTTTTGGGATAAAACTATGATGCACTCATGGTAGAATCAAGGAGGTAAAGTCATGAAATCATATGTTTACAATTTTTTCAAAAATCATTTATATGACAATATCTCATTGCATGTAGAAGAATATAGGTAGACGCGTCGACGCAGCTGCTGGGACAATGAACTGTCAAACCAATTTTGGAATTCAAAATGTTGAATGATAAATTATTTAAATTTGTAAAAATTGTTGAAAAACGCAAATTATAATGGCCTCCGAATGACGTAGTATAAGAAAACATATAAAAATCTACTTATATTTGAATAAACATTTAAATTTTGTTGACATATCAATGCTCCCAAGCGTTGATGCATCTACCTGTATTCTTCTGCCATGTCTCAAGTTGTGTTCCAGTACTTTTTTAGTAGTAAAACCAGCAGAAGAGAGAACAGTTCGAAAAGTCATTCTCATTTAGGTTTGCTCAAAAAATAAAGGAACGGAAAATTAGCAGAAATGCGATAAAATGTCAAAATTCAATATTCCAAAAGTAAACAGCCTAAATCGGACTGGTGAAACCTTACTGAAAAGAGCGCCAACATTTAAAAAATGAGTATTGAAGACGATAAGTTAAAATTAATAATTTATAATAATAATTAATAATCTGATTCCTCATTCAGCCAGTCCTCTTCACTGCTGGAATCATCCAAAAGTGAATACATCAGTTGCTCCATATTTTCTCTTTTTGTTTTTTGCACGACAAATGTTAGTTTTTCCTTTAGTTGAAGTTGATCATTTTCTTTATTGAAATGTATCAATACATTTTTCAACCTTGTTAGCCCTGCCAATTCAATGTCAAATTTACAATATGCACATTTCTGCTCGGCCAAATTCATGTAGCTAAAACGAGCAAAAATGTGCACCACTCAGCGCCATTTTTTTCTCGAGAGAGCAGCAAGTTTTGCTAGTTTTTGGAGTACGGGAACGCGTTGTAGCAGAATTAGTGCTAATTAGTACTAATTTGCAGGTTCTGGAACACAACTTCATTGTCAAATTTTGTGTTTATAAATCCATTGCACATACATAAATCAGAGATGGGAACCTGTTTTTATGCAGTGAATTGTGACAAGGTAAATTACAGAAAATGCAATTGGATGTACAATTGGATCAAGATTACCATATGTTCCACCTGAAGATAAACGCTGTTTATTGTTCATTTGTCACATCTACCTTATGGCAGTCTATGAAGCAGACGATAATAAGGGATATGTGATTGATAATATGGTTAGCTCTATTGTAATTATTCATAATTTTTCAACAATTTTAAACATATTACTTTCTAATTACAGAATAACAACATACGTTTCTATTGTGACAAGGTAAATTACAGAAAATGCAGATACGGGAATGCTTTTTTAAAATCATTTTATTTGAAATGACTTTACCTTTCTCAGTTTACCCTTTAAAAACATATACACAATTTGCATATGTCTGTGTACTGTTTTTAATAAAAAATAATTTGATATTTGGTCTGTTTTTTTTTACTACGATCACGGATTTTCTCTTTATGATATCGAAAATAACTGCAAAACTAGTAGATTCTTACAAGTTTTGGAACAGAACAATTATTTCAAATTTTGAAGCAAGATAAATGTATATTTGCTACGTTAATGGGCAACAAAATGCATAATTTTGGAATGAAACAATATTTTCTTTCTATCTTGGATTCAATTTTGTGGAGAAAACACAATTTTCTATTCATGTTTTGTGGGTTTCCCCCATTTTGTGTTTTTTTTTTTTAATGTAAAATAAACAAAACCAATTATTACATGTTTAAAAGTCTATTTGACACTTTAAGACTCTGAGACAGAGTTGAATTTTTCTAATTTTATTGAAGTTGAAAATCCTTTCTTATTGAGCCGTTTATTGTCCTGTAAGGAATATAATATTGTGTTTGAACCCATATTTTCTATTCATGTTTATTCGCAAAATTCAAAAAATTTGTGAAGATATTGTCAAATAATTCAAACAAATTGTTGCATCCCTTAAAAGTTTATCTAAAAGAATAAGTTTCCAGAACAGAGGTGCATTTTCCTTAGTGCCTTTGATATTTTTTAAATTTAATATAAAATTTAATAATAATAAAAAAATTACCTTTTTCTGAAGAAATAATTTCTTTAAGTCTTACGGCATAAGATGGGGTAAAGAAGCATTGATCAGAATCTGCAAGTATCTATTAGTTTTTATAAATTGTCATTTATTCAAAAAATCATATAAACAAAATATTCTGTTGTTGTTTTTTTTTTCAATTTCTTGACTTTCTCAAGCGTATCTTACCTTTGATGCACTGTATTTTATAAAATTTTACAATCAGTAGATACTTCATTTGTCGTAGCTGATTTACCGGACTAGTGAAAGAACTCATTTTGATTAGAATCACGGTATGAACGATAAACAGTAAATAAACGTAAAGTTTGACATTTTCTCTGATCTGGTACAACACCTTATTATTCCGTCACGTTACAAATCAAGTGGATTTGATTAACATGTAAACAAGATTTATAATCATGGTAGAAGAATACAGGTATATGCATCAACGCTTGGAAACGTTGATATGTCAAAATTTGTGAAATGTTTTTTCAAAAATAAGTAGATTTTTTATGTTTTCGTATACGATGTCAATCGGAGATTGTTATGATATTCGTTGTTCAACAATTTTTCCGAATTTGAATAACTTTTCATTCAAAATTTTCAATTTCAAATTTAGTTTTACAGTTCATTGTCCCAGCAGCTGTGACGATGCGACTACCTGCATTCTTCTACCATGTTTATAATAAAATACATATTACACGTTTATGTTGAACCAACATACCCTTCCTTGTGAATACCCCTTGTTGTATTTGAGGCTTATGAACATATTGACAACACTGTTTGTCAAAAACAGCTGAACATCTGTTTATATTTAGTCGGCGTCCTTCCACGGCAAAGCAGAGAAAATTATTAACAAATTGCTATTTTCTATAAAATAATGAGATTTTCCCATAAAATAAACGAAATAATCAAATAAAATGGATGTCATATTGCCGTTCAAAGTCAAGAACGAGAAAGATTTCTTCGAGTGGGCCTTTAAAATGGGCATTGATGAAATGTCGGCGGTAAGGGTGCATACGAAAATTTGCACATACAAATATTTTATTTATGGAGCGGAACAAAATACTAAAAAACAATTTAATTTATTTCAGCACAAATTCCTCTTTATAATACACAAAAGTGATGTTGATATATTCCCCAAAATGGGAGAGGAGCGTATCAATATTTTGCTATACTATTGGGAAATGTGTGAAGATTACAAGCTGAAAATGAAGGATGATGAATATGAGTTGCCGGAAGAGTTGGAGTCTATTGTAAAGATACTGGTTGCCTGGAGTTTGGATATTTGGTTTAGTAAAGAGTGGGATCGCTGCAAGCTATTGTATAAGCATGCTCTGATACATTGCCTGAATCGGGCGCGCACGTTATTTGCCCGTATGCCGGATATGTTGCAAATTAATTGGGATTTTTTGCTCTTGTTCAACACAACACCCTGGCAGGTTACTTATTTGAAAGCGCTGAACGTAAAAAAAGAGAAAACACTGGAGGATGGTGCTTTGACTATTGAAAAGGAGGAACAAATGGCAACAGATGAAGGTATGTATACTTGTTGTTAAAGTGTGTGCTAAATTTTTTAATTGTTTAGGGTATTACAATACACTATACCTTGGGTTATCATAGTTATAAGGTAAATGCCTCTGAGATAAATTTCGATTTCTGAAAAAAAAAACTAATTTTGATTTATTAAATATTTTTCGAAGTCATGCTAATCTTACAAGTTTGCATCCCATCTACCTTTGGAATTAGTAAACCTAAAGGCCTACTACTTGTAGCAGAAGTAATATCAATATTAGAATGTCTGAATTTGTATAACATTTTTGAAATCTTGCAGGAGATTTTTGGGGCTCATTGAATTTTTTCAAAACCTATTTTTCGTTTTTTTTTCAGATATGGCATATCTTAAAATGGAACAATTGCCATTAATTGTATTGCGACTAGTTAAACTTTTTGATCAGAGCTCCATTGATATGGTTAAAACGCTATGCATGAAAGTTATTGCCGCTTGGAATAAAGTCTATTACAACGAAATGAGTCAAACAATTGGATCAAGATTACCATATGTTCCACCTGAAGATAAACGCTGTTTATTGTTCATTTGTCACATCTACCTTATGGCAGTCTATGAAGCAGACGATAATAAGGGATATGTGATTGATAATATGGTTAGCTCTATTGTAATTATTCATAATTTTTCAACAATTTTAAACATATTACTTTCTAATTACAGATTAACAACATACGTTTCTATAGTCAGGGATTACAAAATTCATATGCCGTGGAAAATATGAAATACACACCGGCACGCTTTATAGCCTTAACATGTACGCACTTGCGTGTACAAAAGAAAGAGTTTTTCGATTTCTTCATATGGAATCCATTGGAAATTTCACCGGTTAATCTATTCGGTGTCATAGCCCAGACATATAAAAGCTATCTGTTGGGAAATATTTTAATGGAACTAAATAATATGAACAATGAAGATTTCGCTTTAAACGTGGCTCTATACAAAAGGCTTATGAATGCCTACATTAATGAACGTGAAAGAAGTGAACAGTTTATTTTGGATGAACTGCAGAAACAGGAGGCCCAACATTATGCACACAATATAATTCAAACTGTTACAAATATGACAGATTTTAAAAGTAAAATATGTAAGGGAAATCGTATGAGTAACATTGGAAACTATGAAAATACAGATGAACGCATTGATGGCAGTATTGAAGTTCAAAAGGCTTTGAAGGAAGAAGAACAGGATGATTTGCGTGCAGATCCAATTTTTCAAAATATTCCCAACAATGAGGAAATATTGTATTATGTCTATGAGGCTTTGTCAAAGAAGGTAATTATCCGCTTTGTCAAGATTCATGTTAAGATGATTTTAAAATTATAATTTTTATTTTTCGTTTTACAGACCTTCCATGGTTGGCATTTTGCCAAAATTGTTTTGCTTTTCAAAATCATAAGTCATGAACTGAATATGATTGAAACCTGGCGCTATCATCCAGGATTGACAACCAATTTTATGTTAAATCTGGAAACAAAATTGTCGCAACATTACACAGATATGGCGAAAATATTTCTAGATCATCCATTTATTGAACAAGAATTTTGGTTAACAGCCTTCTATTTGAACCCGACCAATTATAACTATGAAGCCATTAAACGACTTGGCATACGCAACAATAGAAAACGTACCGATGAACAAGGTAGATGGGTAACGGGTAAAGATAAAATCGAGGCCAAGTATGGACTTTTGAGTTCAACAATTGATGTTAAGGCCATTAGCAGTCTGTCCAATCATGATGAAGAGAAACGGGATTATGAACCGTTGTTTCAGGCTTTGACTTTGCTACGTTTACCATCATCGATGATAAAGGATCTATTGACGGTGATATTTTTGGCACGCAACAAAAGTTTTTCCTGGGCCGTTGAATGGAATGAGCTACGGCGACGCTGTAAAGCTCTAATGTCAAATGCTGAGGAGAAGAAACGTTTCGTCGAGCTGAATATGGCCGAAGCTAATGATCGTTTGAAATATTTACACATTGATTATGAGAAATATAAAAATAGGCCACAGTTGGACTATGGTTCCATTGAGCAGGGTTATGAAAATCTTATCAATGCAGCTGATATGGATGATGACACTGAGGAGAGTGAAGAAGAAGATGACTTTGAAGACGATGAAGATGTCTATGAAAATAAACGTGGTAGAGGGAATAAAAAATCAACAGAAGTTATAGAAGGTAAGGAAATTGATCCATTTAAAAATATGAAATTATTTATATTTTGCTTTTTTTTCAGATGACAATTCCCAGGAAGATGATCCATACTTAACGGGTAAAAGACGTACACGAGCCACTGCAGCTGCTGCATTGGCCAGTTTTCTTTACAACTCTGAATTGGGTCGAGGGAAACGTAGAAAAAAAGCCGAGGAGGAAGCGAAAAAATTGGAAGAAGAATCCAAGTTACAGGAAAATGAGGAAAAATCGAATGAATCCAAATCTGTAGGCGAATCTGAATCTACAAATATTTCCTCAACGGCAGCTGTTTTAGAGGACGACAATTCCAAAACATCAGACATGATAAAAAGGAATATCAAAGAATGTCTCAAAGAACGGCCGGTATTAATAAATCCCACATATGGATTTCAACCGCTTATTGATTTGTGGAATATGGAAAAGGCCGATTTGGATACAGTAGATAGTGAATGCGTTTCCCTAGTGGAGAGTTCAAAAGTTCTAAATCGTTTTTCTAAACTGAAAAATATAACAAGAGAATTAAACCCATCAGAAATGTGTGTGGAAGATGATGTACGGGAAATGCAAATGTTTACAGACTATAGAGACATAACTGAGGAAATATGTCAAACATCTAAACCTGCCACTGCAACATTTAAAGCCATATGCCTGAGGGCTAAACCAATAGAAGAACAAGAGAAAGATGAGAAGAAATTTGTAATGGATATTAAGATTGAGGATAATCCTGTAAAACTGGAACCCAACGAGGGAAAGGGTAAGATCAACATTCTTATATTAAATTCATGTTTATGAAGTTTTATTATTTTTACTGCAGTTACCAAAGGAGAGAAAGAAAAACCAGCATTGCAACAGTCTCCGAAAGCTGCCACAGGTCCGAAAGGAGTGGAAGAATTAACAGAATCGAAAAAGTCTCAAAATGTCGTCACTGGATCACATCAGTCTGAAGAAGCAATAGATAAAGCAATAAGTAGCACAACGAATAAAGAAAAATATATAAAGGAAAAGGAACGTGTGCAAATAGACACTGAAATAGCGAGGCAAAATGAAATTTTAAATCAAGATTTAACAGAAAAGACTACCCGCCCTCAGGAAGATCTTTCTTCATTATTATCTAAAGCTCAAACTGATGAACGGCGGTATGTAATTGATAACAAGTCTGCAGAAAAGGAAAACAATATGGACAGTGAAAAAATTTCTGATAACGATACCAATGAAGAATGTATGGACAAAAGTGATAATCAACCAATTGAAGGTTCAGATGAAAGCAATCCCAAACCAGTTGAAGTTAATGATGAAAATTTATGTGAAATGCTTGATCAAGTTAAAACTCAGGATCCTAATAGTTCTCAAACGATTGTGTCACATACTTCTTCTTCTTCCCCCTCAGCTGAGAATTCAACAACACAACAAGGGAAACATACTGCCACGGAAAATGTACAAGATCCGAGTGAACATATTCTAACATCTCCTAAAATAGATGAAGAGAAGATCATCATTAATGAAATCTTATCATCTAACACCTCTCTGGGAACAAATATTGTTGAGTTATTGGATACCAATCATGAACATATTTCAAATACTTCTAAAAAGAACTCTGAAAATGTTTTGAAATCGAAGGAGCCGGAATGTGAGAATGATCAAAATATGGAACATAATGAGGAACCAAAAACAAAACCAAAAAATGATTGTTCATTGGAAACTATGGGAAAGTCGATAGAAAGTGAAACTGAAGTAAGAGGAAACCAAGAAACAATAGAGGACATGGAACACATTCAACCCGTCTCAGGCAATGATGAGAGTAATGAAGAATGTATTGCGAAACAAGAAGAACATGATGAAACGAGATTTATTGATGAAAGTAACACATCATTGGAGAGTGAAAGCAAACCAGACGTCAATTCAAAATCCAATAAGTTGGCTCAAATGACAGATAATGACTACATTTCAGAATTTAAAGGATCATGTGAAACGCAGAACGATGATACAGCAGATGAAAAGAAACGTACATCTAACGAGTCCTTAGAAGTGTTCAACATCAGTTCTTCAGATAGCAAAGATCTAGAAAATAATGAAATAGCAACTCCCATTATACTCGAAGAAAACCTGCCCACTAAATCTCCAAAAACGTGTACAAAGGAAGCTGATGGCGAAACGAAAATCACGTCTCAGAATGAGAGCGATATTGTTAAATGTTCAGATTTTAAACTAAACAATGACACGGAGAAAAGCTCAAACGTAAAACAAAGTAAAAATGAGCGAGGTGCAAAAGATGGAGCATGTCCCGACTCAGATATTATTAAAGACAGCATTTGTGACACTACAACAAAAACAGCTGTTCACGATTCATTTATGGTTATCAATGATATGCCGGAATTAGATGATAACTTTAGCAATTCAGGTTATCTACATGATCCTGATATGCCACTTTTGGACTCACAAATTTCGGATGGTGAGTGTGACAAATATGAGAGGCCAGAGTGTTCTACAAGGCCTTGTAAAGTACTGATACGAAAACTGAAACCATCTGATGTCGCCAATTTGCGACAGCCAAAAGTCAAGGTGAAACGCATAAGAGATCCTGAAATGTTCCTCAAAGAGTTTAATGCAAAACGGAGACGTTTTCATGCAAAAAGTAAGTAATTCAGTAAAATTCATCTATTTACTTTAATAAAATGTTTGCCATTTTCTTTTAGTCTTTATTGAGTTGGAAGATAGCTCAGACAGTGTTATGTCAAATTCAAGTTCATCCGATGCATATCGTCCACCCAAAGGATGCAAGACCAAACCATTGCCTAGACGGCACATTTTGCGAAAGACTCGTACATCAGAGTCGGAATGTGATTCTATTCCATCTCAATTTGATGGGAAAAGACGACGCCTAAGCACATTGAATACCTGCTCGCAACAATCAAATAATTCAAGTCGTTCCTCATCGCGTCAGCCATCTGTTGGTGGTGATTTGGTTGTAACGCCGCGCAGTGCCAGCGGTTTGAAATTACGTATATCACATGCATTGCGACAATCTCCGGTATTGCACACGAAATCCAATACAACATCTGCCGATGAAATTATACAATTGTCCTCCAGCGATTCGAATACAATGGATTCCATGGCAGAGGTAATTGAAATTCCCGAAGTTGGCGATCCACTGTTCGAGGAGGAAATTATCATATAGCATGGTTGGAAACATCATCGTTGTTAATACACAAACCCCCCACCCTTTAGACTAAAAATTCGCATAGTTTTTAACCTAGACCTATCATAAAACTCATTTTGTCCCACATGCTGACTGGTCAGCTTTACTGAAGTTACAGTATTTTCCTCATGTCATAAAATGTCATTTGTATGCCATCCTTTCGATCGAGGCCCCTTTTTGTTTTCATTTTAGAAATTCGCTGGTACTGCACTTGTCGTCTTTTTTAGATATTTATTAAACATTGTAAATATTGCCATAAATCAATCATCGTATTTTGTTTGACACAACTAAGAATAATAACAAATGTCAATCTCTATTTGAATTAAATTTTAGTTAGATTAAGGAATATAAGACAAATTAATTTACACAAATTAATAAATTTGAAAAAACAAAAAACAATTTAATAGTAAATTGTAGAGTTTCTCTTTTTCCAGAGGTTTGCACTAAACTAAGAATCAAAAATCCAAAACAAAAGAATCATGAGTGGAGAAATGTTTTGATTGTGAATGAAGTGTTTTATTTTAAATACCTTCAAAGGTTTATAAACCTGATGATGGGATCTAGGTCTGAGAAAAAAGTTAAAGTCTCCCACCTGCCAAATAGCCTATGTCTCTTGTTAGATAACAACTGCATGGTATATGGTGTAGGGTATAATTACAGTATGAATGTTGTCCTCGGAGTCCATTAACTAAAGAACGTCGGCTGTGTAGACAAACCAGGGAAGGAAAATGCAAAACCTACCAAAATTACTAAAGAAGATCTTTGGTCACAGTCCCCAATAGTAGCCGAATTTTCTAAACCTGGAGTTAGAACCGAATTACCAGAAATCAAACGAAACGTGTGAAGCTGTTACAACCACAACTGTTATCCAATCATGAGGTCAGTTATATGAAACTGCAGTGGTCAGCCGATATTAATACCGCGATTCTTAAGTCAGACCTACTACCTGATGTAAGGGAGCTTGTTCTTCTTCTCTAGCTTACCAGCCAGATGGCCTTAGATACCTTGCAACACGTTTTTAAGTGTCAATTTTTTCAGCTTCTACGATGAGAGACAGCTGACATAATAGCTCATTGGTGATTTAACAGTCTCATCAATCGATAGATCAATCGACTGGAAACCACCTCGAGAGAATTTACAGTGTGGCGCAAAATAAACACAGTCTTTGGCAAGTGTAATATTGAATTACATTGTCCATATCGCTTTCTGGTAGAGAGATGTCTTCTCCGAGACCATCGGAGTATTAAAATCCCTACTCAGTTCAAGGTCCAAAATGTCATGCAGACTTTCAAGAATTACTAACGTTATGTATTTAATGTATTTGAGCTTCATTATAGCAGCAAACAAGACATTAATGTTTCCCATAAACAAAATCGTTTTATTTTACAAACCTTAGCATACTTTTAGGCGCCCATTCCATTTTTCTCTTTACGGCTTTTAAGCAATCATTTACAATTTATTATAACAAATTCCAGGTATATCCATATGTTTTTATGATTTATTTACTTTTATTATACCTTTTTAATATCTCAAAATATTAGTTGCAGATCCCATAAACTGTGCTTTCTTGATCACCGTAAAATTCAAGTCAATTTAACTAAGTGAATGGCTTACTAATTCAGAGCATTTTTAAATTGCAGAGCGAGAGAGCGTTTTAACTAACTTTTTTAAAAAATTTTATACCTTGGTATTTGTAGGTCATAACGAGTCCCTGTGCGTGTGGCAAAACATTGCATGTATAGGTCCACGTTTTGGTATAGCCCCCATATAAAGGTACCTCCCGATATTCGGTATTTTGATTATTTTTGCCACATTTTTTCACGGATTTGTCTAAAAATTGGTATTTGTTGGCCATAATAGTTTCCAGCTCCGGTGACGAAACATTGCATGTATGGGTCCACGATTTGGTACAGCCCCCATATAACGGTATCTCCCGATAATCGGTATTTTGATGGTTTTTACCACATTTTTTCACTGATTTTTCTGAAAATTTGTATTTGTAGGTCATAATGGTTCTAGCTCCTTTGGCGAAACATTGCATGTGTAGGTCCACGATTTGGTATAGCCCCCCATATATACCTCCCGATATTCGGCATTTTAATGGTTTTTGCCACATTTCTTCCTTTACCCTAAGGTGGAGGGTATTAAAAGTTTGGCCCGGCCGAACTTAATGTTTTTTTAATAATTTTTGTATATCTACTGTAAAATTTATTAGTCACAATTATTCGTAATCTATAAATCATTATCTATGACAAATTAAAAATTTTAAATTAAATTCAACTAGACGCCACCTTAACGAATTGTGGCAGGCACACACACAAACTCACCAATACAATGCAAAAAGGACCAACGAATAAAATCCTGTTAAAAATTCATATCACTCAAATGTCCTTGTCATCCTTGTTAGTTAAAGGCCATTGTCATGCGGTGTCATAAAATATTGGCTATTGAGCAAATAATCCTACACCCAAAAATCCGTAAAGTAAATAAAATAAACAATCAATAGATGGATGGATAGAAGGAAGGAATGAATGAATGGATGAATCGGTGGATGGATGGAGAGAATGATAGAAATTTTTATTTGTTGACTTGTCATTTCTGTGTGTCTACTGTTTGCACAAATCGGGATAAAAATCAACTGAAAATCCTGAAAAGGGGGTTGTCTTTTGAGGGTGACGGAAAATTAGGTTGGAGCAAAATTAGGGTAGACGAATTAAATTAAAAATATGTACTTAAAATGTCGGAATTCCAATAAATCTCAATCAGAAATTTTCAAAAAAAAAAAAAAAAATAAAGTAAAATAAAATAAAATAAAAAATTATATTACTTTTGGGTGTAAACGTTCAAAACGACAGTGGCTTTTATTTTTTATACCCTTCACCTTGGAAAGGAGGGTATATTAACTTTGTCATTCCGTTTGGATTTGTCTAAAAATTGGTATTTGTTGGTCATAGTGGGTTCTAACTCCGGTGGGGAAACATAACTCCGGTGGGGAAACATTGCACGTTTTGGTATAGCCCCCAAATAACGTTACCTCCCGATATTCGGTATTTTGATGATTTTGGCCACATTTTTCTATGGATTTGTCTGAAAACTGGTATTTGTTGGTCATAATGGGTTCTAGCTCCGGTGGCGAAACATTGCATGTTTAAGTCCACGTTTTGGTATAGCCCCCATATAGCGGTACCTCCCGATATTCGGTATTTTGATGATTTTTGCCACATTTTTTTACGGATTTGTTTGAGAATTGGTATTTGTGGGTCATAATTGGTTCTAATGTTTCCATTACCCTAAGGTGGAGGGTATTAAAAGTTCGGCTCGGCCGGAACTTAATGTTTTTTTACTTGTTAGTTCTACTTTTATATATGATATTGTTTGTAATTAATTTTTTCGGTTGCACTGTGTTATGTTTAATTTTTTTCGAAATTTCTATCACTCCAGTGAAAAAATCGCTATTTTTCTATCTTTTATATATGGGACACATTTAGGTAGAATTGAAAATTGGCCAAGTAGAGAAATTTATTTTATTTATTTTATTCAAAGATTCACATACACACACATAGACACACACAAACAATGTTTTATCCTAACATACTGCCACCGATGTTCATTCAATGTGGATCTGCAAATAAGTCTGCTTAATCTTTGAATTGGGTAAACACAAATTGGAATTCCCAGTTAGTACGGCCATGTCTGCTGTAACTGTAGGAGGTTGAAAAGATGTTATTTTACAAGGTGGTAGTTAAACACAACAATATTGTGGATAATCATGTGTTGTGTGCTCGTGGTCCTATTGTTCGAACTGCTTTTGAGGGTGGTTAATCGCACCAGAGTCTGGGTAACATTAAAACTGTTTGGAGGAGGCATTTTGCACATTCAATATGCTGTAGGTTCTTTGCCATTCGGCAGCGAAATCATTTGTAAATCACGTACTTTTTTGAGGGGTTACATTGCATTTTTATAATAATTATTCACATTTTTTGCAAGGAAATGTTGATTCATTGCCAGACTAGGGTAGTTGTTTTATTTGGATTTTTTGTTGTTATGCAGACCACAGGCATAAAAAACTTCATTTAGAACCTTTCTTAACATTTTTTCCGTTATGAAGTAAAAATATAAAATTACGTACTAGAACCCTGAATATTGATTAATATCGGGGGGTACTATTTTTATGTTTTATCCGATTTCTACCATCTTTATAGCAGATCTTGGGTTGATGGAAATATTGAGATATACTAATTCTGAATGGGATGAGATCTTGACTTCGTATTTTGTGAGCTGCTGGATATTCAAAGTTTTGCCCCTTTGTGTATAAGGTACCAGAAGGAGTGGACTGATATATTCCATCTTCATAGCAGATCTTTTGTTGGTAGAAATAATGGGATGTGTGATATATGAAGAAAACTGGATCTTTATTTCGCATTTTATTATCGTTTTGGTTATTCAAAACTTTGACCCTTGTGGCGGAGGTACCAGAAGAAATGATCTGATCTCTACCATCAACATAACATATCATGTGTTGATGGAAATGTTGAAATGTATCAAGTCTGAAAGGAATCGGATGTTAATTTCGCGTTTTATGAGCTTTAAAATATTGATCCTTTGTGGGAAAGGTACCAGAAGCAGTGGACCCAATGTCTTCCATCTTCACAACAGACCATGGGTTCATAAAAATATTGTGATGTGGTTAATTTGAAGACAAAAAAATGTATGTATTCTGGATCAGCGTAAAATTCTAAGACGATCAGACGATGCCCGTCTGTCTGTCTGCCCGTCTGTTGTAATTACGTTATCTTTCGAAAGAATTGAGATAGAAGGCTAACATTTGCGTACATGCATAGTTTACCAGTAGGCAGGTTAAGTTCGTAAATGGTCCATGTCGGTTCACGTTTTCGTATAGCACCCATATAACGGTACCTCCCGATATTCGGTATTTTCATGATTTTTGCGACATTATTCATTCGTATTTGAAATTCGTAACGGGTACTAAAGCCTTTATTAAAAAAAAAAAACGTAAGCAGGTCCTTTGTATAGTCGCCATTTTTGAAAATTTTCAAGTTCCTTCCAAATGGTAGAGGGTATTAAAAGTTCGGCCCGGCCGAAGTTGGCTTTACTTTTTTTAAATTTCGACTTTTTGTGAGTGAGGTACCAGAAGAAGCGTAACGATATTATGATATACAGGGTAAGATGAAAAATTTAATGGCCAATTTCAGACTGCTGT